CAATTAAATGCGACGTTGCGGGAGAGGGAATCGCTATAAAGTATATCCACATCAACTAGAGAGACTTAAAAGAGCAGAACAATAGCATCACCCTAAATCACTGCCCATATTTTCTGAAGCGTTCCTAACGGAATGGCGCGAACTATTTGATTTTCCAACTGGAATTTCCGGCTTTCCCACGTAAATGGTAAGTACCCAAGAAGATCTTTCAGATCTTATAACCGCGCTTTTAAAATTTAAATGTTTTCTTAGCACTACAGTCGCAATGCAGTGCACATTACAAATTACAAGCAGTCCTTGATGATTTATTGACTACTGTAGACACCACATCACTTGATCAACGCAAACTGCATTATTGCACCATCAGTCGTAGCCGCTGTGAAATCTCCGATGACGTAATTACTTCCGGCACATGTCATAATATGGGATCATGAGTGACCCGTTTTTTGTTTCGTGCTCTTTTGGAGCCGGCCAAGGTCATTTTTTCGTCTAAATAACCTGAGAAAAATGCGAAAAAGATGTTCCTATTCAATTTTCAGCTCTCAGGCAATAATCCTGGATTTTCTTTTAGCGAAACGTCGGTTCGTGTTATGTTTGTGTGTTTCGGTTGTTATGGGCGACTGTCGCTTCCTTTGTTGACTGAAGCAATGAAGCGAGGTGACAAAGAAAAATCTAATTATATTTAGTTCTGATTTTGTTCGATCTCGTTGAAATTTTAATATGATGAAGCTGGATTGTTAAGGAATAGATTTTACTACTGCCGATATGAGGTAGCTATTAACGCTAAAGTGATATATCGCTTCGAAGTCAGGGTTTTGAAGAGATTTTTCTGCAAAGCGTGGGTTCGGCGTGACTTTGTAATCTGAGGTTTTTGTTGTCCCTGAAGAAACAAGGTTTGGCGACTACACATTACAGATTGCGTAATTCAAAGTTGGCTTAGTGAAGGTCTGCGTCTGGTCTCCGACAAGGAAAAAACAAAAAGATCTGTTAGATCTTATAACCGCGCTTTTAAGATTTAACTGTTTGCTTAGCACTACCGTCGGAACGCAGTGCACATTCCAAAGCAGTCATTGATGATTCTTTTCTTACTGTAGACATCACATCACTTGATCAACACAAACTGTATTATTGTACCATTAGTGGTAGCCGTTGACAAATCTCCGATGACGTAATGGTCTTAATCTAGAACTTTCTTCGGGATTTGTATGGGCATGAACGATATGAACTACACGGTAATAACACTATTAACAACAGCTTTCCTCTTAAAAGTCATGATTAAATTTGATTGGTGTTTTCCACGAGTAAAGGGCTAGTAAAGTAGTCACAAAAGTCATATAATTTAATAATAAAACTCTACCCCGACCGATGTATCGATTTTGGTCACTCCAGTGACCACA